GATTCCTTTGCCTTCCGAATCTGGAGGTACGGCGAGGTTGAGAAGTCTTTCGTAGACCAGTTTGTGGTCGTCCTTATCGTTCTTGCCTTGGTGAAAGAGGTCGACCTGTAATTGCAACAGGGGCAATTGAAGCGTTTCGGTGACGAAGGCGAAGGCTTCGGAAGTATCTTGCTGTTCCAGGAGTTTGGCGTCACTCCAGCCGCACTCAGCCAGCGCATCCTGAATCAGTTTCGTCTGTGACAATTAGCGCAGGACAGGTACTGCAAGACCAGCCGCAACTCACCATATCTGCGTGAATCATCTTTCCGCTCCTGAGCATGTTCACCCACAAGCGGAGCAGCGTGACTAGTTTGCGCCTTGGTTCGTCCGTGAATTCGTTCTTCAGCATACATTCGAAGGCGTCCAGTTTCGCAAACATGGCAAACAACAGGGAGTCAAGGTAACATGTGACGTTACCCCTATTCTCTGCGCCAACCATTTCGATTTGGGGATTGTAGTGTGCAACCTTGCCGGCCATTGCCTTGCATTGTAGCTGAATGAACTCGACGGTTTTGTCGACATCGCCGTCAGCGAATTTACTGTTCAGGGAGTCCCGAATATGTTCCGCAGAAACGTCGGTGATGTTCGACTCGGCAAGAAGGTGCGTAATGTCTTCGATCTATGGTCTTGTTAGACTCGTGCAATGTTGCGATGCTGCGGTTGGTGTACCTTGGCCATCTCCTTCTCCTTTATTTCCTCATCGGTCGGTGCTCGGTCGCTCTTGAAAAGTGACCTGAATGCTTCAGCTGAAAGGGGTCGGTTCTAGGTTTGGCGTTGTTGGATTAGTGTGGCTGTTCCCATGGGAACGGACTTTGAGAAGGACCATCTTCAGTTCCTGGGATATGAAGCTCACCTTTTGTCCTGGTTCTGAGGATTTGCTTCTGCGATGCGTGCCACTCCTGTCCCGCAGGCTAAGAAACTTTTTGCCCTTCATGGTTGCAGATCCTGTATGTTGCCAAAAGCTAGAATAGCTAGGTTCGCGATTTTGGTGCCAAAGTGGCTTGGCGACTCGAGAAAAGCAGTCGTCTCAGCGGTCAAGAATCATGGCCAGGTTGAAAGTCGCACCCCCATCGGCCAGCAATATGGGAGTGGGTGAGGTGGGGAGCAAAGCTGAGAGAAGATGAAGAATGCACCGAGTGCGAGGATAGGTATGGAGGGGTTCTGGCGCGTGTCGGCGGGGCAGATTTTCGCAGTCGCAAAAGACGGGGCTGGGCCGCTGGGATGATCAGGTCTGGACTCTGGGCTGTCCGATGTAGCAGCAGCAGAGTGGTAGGTTTTCGCTATTCTGATGGCCTGCAACGGCAGGGTATGAGTGTTGATCAAGTATTTGTTGTCTGCCAAGTACTCCGTAGACAAGCTCGATTCTCGAAAGCCAGAGAGATATCTGTACTGCCTGTTTTGTTGCTTAGGTTCGGAGTGAAGAAACAGAAGAAGCAGACTGGAAGTGAGAAGACGAGGTCCTATGGTTGAACACACGGGGGACTGCTGAAGCAATAAAGGTAGCGAAGGACCTTCGACTGGCTCCTGGCGCCAACAAGGGTCAGATGGTGGTGGTTCGTGGATTTGGCTCAGAAAATTCGGGGTCCAATGTGAGCAGCAGCTTTGGCAGGGTGCCGTGGGTGCCTACGGTGTATTGGTCGTGTGGAGAGGCACCAAGTGGACGGACCGCGGAAGGGCGTGTATTCGTACCGGCGCGGCAAAGCTTGGGTGAGGTGGTACTTTGGGGCCCCTGAGAGATTTCCACCTCAACTTTCTGCTGGGGACACTCGGCGTCCCTTGCGGACTTGCCGTCAGTTGACTCGGGGGTTTGGGAGCGCCAGATCGGTGGAGGGTGGCGGCAAGGCGGACTTTCAGGTTTGCTTGCTTGCTGTTACTGTTACCTTGGACAGACGAACACGACGCATCCAAGATGACCGTGACTCCGAGCTGGCCTGTCCGTCTTCTAGCTGGCTTTTTGTGGTATAGGCTTTTCCGGTTGGCAGCAGACGGAGTGTGTTACGTGGTGAGATGGGACCATAGCCTGGAGTGTACGGAGTAATAGCAAGGGAAAAGCCAGAATGTTCTTGACCGTGCTTGGCTGCCACAATTCTTACATATGACCGACCAGGCTCCGAATATGAGTAAAAGTAGCCTGCCCCAACATCCCATGTCCACGCGAGGTGACATACGTGAGGGCCTGTCCTTCGTGGGAGGAACATTCGAAATTGACTTAGGCTGCCCATTTAACAAGATGAAAGTGGCAAGTCGCCCATCGCATCAATTGCTGGTCATTCGATCCCCTAGTCACAATGGGAAATGTTGAGCAGAAGTCTTGACATGGCCTGCACAAGGACTTTTTAGGCCGGACGTGACTCTCGTCAAGTCTCGCCTCTTGTTTCGAGGTGGTTTATTAGCTCCCGAATGATACCCTATGGGACACATCCTGGAGCGTCCCTTGCTTCCATGCGTGCGCAGTAGATCCGATATCATGGCTCTGTGGCCCATGCTCCTGGTTTCATAAGCCTCCTGGTCCAATGTCCATGGCCTTCTTTTACATTGAACAGGCTTCGCCAAGAACAGACGAAGAACAGCTAGATGAACGAAAACAATACGAGTGTCTTTCACTGAGCCACCCTAGAGACTCAACTCTAACTTAGCTCCAGAAGCAATGCGCTTACACACACTCCCGCACCCATAGCAACGCTCAACGACCGCAAAAGTAAGAGCAAAGCCTCTTGACAATGAATGGAAACTCTGTCGCACCATCTGCCACTTCCAAGCCCCCCGCCTTGTGTGTGTTGGATGTTGATCAGTCACTGAAACTAAGCTCCAATCCGATGAAAAGCGCTCGCGTAACCTGTACACGTTCGCTCTCGCGTCCATCTTGGGTACAATCAGGCAACCTGCATGTTAGCGCGCGCCGCCGCCGCACATCGAAGAGGGCAAGAGGCACACAATGCCCATCGTTGCTCATCGTTGCCCATCTGTCCGTCCCATCTTTGCCTATTCGTGTCTGAGAGTGCTGCTTGCTCAAGTGGTCTCCCCACCCTGTCAGCTCCGCGTACCTTAGTCGGAAGGCAAAGCTCCCGCTTCTGCACCGAACGCGCGCTTGCTGACCCATTGAGCTGGTGACTGACAGACATTGGATTCAGCTGAGAGCCCGAATGACTGCTACGTAATCGAGCTGCGTGCACGATTTACCCGCTCTAGTAGAATGGATCGTCGGTGCCTCACCATAGTCCGAATCTCGATAGAGGGTGTCCCGCGGACGGCGGCCTGGTTCCTGATGACGACAGTGCAACGACCACACACTGAGCTTGAAGGCCCGAAAGTCCGGAGGCTGCTGGTCACGTTCGCTCCGATGGGCCCCGAGTGACATTCCCATGTCACTCCGCATCCTGCCGCCTGGAGATCCAGGCTTTTAAAACTGCAAAAAGATCAAGCCACACTTTATTCTCAGAACTGAGCTACAAGGTCCACTTTAAAATTGCATCAGCCACAAGTGGCACGGGCCGAACTGAGCATTTCGAGATTGAAATTTCGAGCATCACGACTTACCCTTACAGACGTGTTAGGTTGCGTCACAATTGAACGACTAGCCATGGCCACTCTACGGGAAAGCTCCCGACTAACTCGGTTTGTCTGCAGGCAGCGCTCGCCATGGCAATTGACCCCTCTTGTCGCCCGGCGATGCGAATCCACTGCTGCCGCTGAGGCTCAGTTCCCCGATCTTGAGACCTCGTCCCTGGCTGCTCCTGGCCCTGACGATGCTGCCATCCAAGCTTTCAACACGGCGAAGCGCTTGGCTGACAGGCCGCAGCAGCTTCCCGGAAACAGGTGCGTATTGAAGCTCTCAATTACAACGTGAAGCGGAATGCTAATAGATGAGCCGACAGATACCAGTACCATCCCCCTAAGTACGACAGAGGTCCTCTTCACCCGATTCAATCACCGCCCTCCACCGATCCCACGGCCCGCGACTTCGTTCCTGGGCCCTTCAACCTTCCCAGACTGCGTCAGACGTACGATACGACCATCGCCGCCGATCTGCTCACGATGACCTACCTTCACAAGCCACCAGGTACACCAGAACCCCCGGTACGGGAGCGTTTAAGGGCATGGGACGACTCCTCGCCGTACAACAAGAACCGTCCTCTCCGCGGACCTAGAGGTGGAAGCAAGCTCGACGTGTTGGAGAAGAACATCGACTGCCGGTCTGTCCCCGAAATTTTGGCCGTATCGCTGCACACCTTCATCCCCTCGGCCGCCAAGGCGCCGGGAACGCTCCAGGTCGCTCGTTCGGTCATCCAGTCCATCAGCGGCAACGTCCCCGAGGTCACCAAGACCAAGAACAACGTTATCCAATGGAAGATCCGCGAGGGCGACAAGACCGGTGTCAAGACGACCATGCATGGTCCCCAGGCGTACGAGTTCGTTGACAAGCTGATCAACCTCGTCCTGCCCAAGATCAAGGACTGGCCCGGTGTCAATGCGACCACTGGTGACGGAAACGGTGGTATTGGTATCGGTCTGAGGCCCGATGACCTGGTCTGGTTCCCCGAGCTCCAGATCAACTACGACATGTACCCTGCCAAGGTGAGATATTCCGTCTGCCTATAACTTGTGACCACGTTGCTGACGAGTCTCTGTAGCTCCTCCCAGGTTGCCATATTTTCATCCACACAAGCGCAACCTCGAACCGTCAGGCCAGGCTTCTGATGCAAGCTCTTGGCCTTCCTTTCTACGGAAAGTTTAAGGATTAAAAAGGGGGGGAAACATTGCTGGGAAGGGGTATCCCGTTTTGTACGATATCAACACATTTAGAAAGCCTGTATATGAATGTACCAACAGATACGGTCACTCTTGAAATGTGTTCTGTACCATAACTGTGTGATCATGTTCTTGGTTCATCTGATGCGATAATGATCGTCTAATACCATAATGCCATGTTTCTTTTGGTCGTCGTCCCGTACGTCAAAAGAGCCCTCATGCCGATCCACCCGCCGAAACGCCGTCCATGCAAGTAAACCATACCAAACCCTCTCCATACCCATTCCTTTCTCGCATTTTCTTTTTTTTCTATGCCGTGATCTTGGCCTTAAGCGCATTCATAATCTCATCAATGTCATCCATGTTCTCTGCGTCAACCTTGCCGTTACGCAGGCCCTTCTTCTGCAGCTCGTCCGTGAGAACATCCGCGCCGGGTTGGTAGTTCCGCACGGCAGAGCTGAGCGCGTAGACGGCCTTCCTCCTCACAGCCTCCTCCTCGCCGTCCTTGGTCGCGAGCGCCACGAGGGGCGGGATGCCGCCCACGGCGAGCAGGCGCTCCTGGCTGGGCAGGTTATTCTGGACGGCGGTGCCGACGCACCAGGCGGCCATGCGGCGCAGCTCGTGGGCCTCGTGCTCGAGGCAGGAGAGCAGTGGGGTCCAGAGGCCGAGGTTGGCGATGTTGTTTGCGTTGTCGAGGTTCTCGATGAGCTGCTCGAAATTGTCAAACGCAATGAGCTTGTTGTCGAGGGTGATTTCCGGGTCCGGGGAGGTGATTGCCTCCATGGAGAGCTTCATGAGCTCGGCGTCACTGGGGCCGTTGCCGAAGAGGGCTGCGATGGCCTCGGGGTCGAGGGTGCTGGCGGGCGCCCTTACGGCGGTGGCGTCGGCGGGTGCTGAGGTGCCGTTCTCGCCGCCAGTTTCTTGGTTTTCGATACTCCATTTGAGGAGCTCGTTGAGGTGCTTGTCACCCATGATGGATAGTTTGTGGATAGTTTTTTTTGGAGGTGTAGTTGTTTGGAGTAGTTTCTTGAAATGATAAAACCTTGTGACGGTTTACTAGACTTGCTGCAAGTCTGAATGAGAAACCTGAAAAGTGTGTATTGTGTTGATGTGTAGAGTTTGTTTGCTATCAACTCTCAGTCTGTCACTCACTCTCACTTGAACTCTCATCAACATCAAAAAGTTCTCCATCACCAAGAGCCACTTCCCGCTCTGACTGGCTACTTCTGATTTGCTACCCTTTTCTGGAACCTTCAAGAAGCTTGCCAACTATCGAAAGCGGACTAGCGTCGATCTCACGTGAGGAGCCCTGATCAAAGCCAGCTCAATGCATCGTTTATGCAGCTCGAGTCTCTTGAAACTTGGGCAGACAGACTTCTGGCCAGCGAATCTCTTACAGCCCAACAATGGGATCATGCAATGGGCTGAGTTGGCAATTCATCTGCCAGTCAAACATTGGATACCCTCCCGGACTCTGGACCCGGGAGTCTTGGGCTCGTCGAGGGAATGGTCGAAGACAGTCTCCTACTGTAGTGAGGTGGCTGGTAAAAAGACGTGAACCAAAAAAAAAGTTCCAACTGCCCCACCATAGAATGAGTTGCCCCTCATTGCCGCTTTAACTTAAGGTGGCCATGGACAGAGCTTCCTCGAGGTACCCAAGCTATGATAGGTATTGCGACGCTGAGCTGAGCAACCTTCCAGCAATGAAGTCACTGGAGCACACGAGACCTGGTAATTCGAATTTGCTGTATCCAGCTTTGGATAACCCCAGGCTTCTCAGCCTTGCATCCTTCCATTGTCTGAAAGCCTTTCTGGTAGTTTATTTCGATATTGCATGCCTCGCTTGACAGGATGCAGCAATCAGGCATAGCGTCCCCGCCCCAGATGACAGGTTACAGCTTCCGCCGTATTCTCCTATCTGATCTGTGCTAAAAGGACCCGATCAACGGAGACGCCGCCCGGCAGCCCGGAGCTCCCAGCTCAGCCACACTGGAAACGTAGCACGGCGTGTAGTTGTCGCCCGCGCTGTTTCTTGTTGGGCTTCCCACACAAAGCTCGAAACACAGTTTCTGGACACAGCACTCATCGGCAGGTACATGTCGAAGACGAGAGCGAGCCCGTGAACGAGGTTCCAGCCCAGAGCATGTATGCGAGATGCGATATGCGAGGCTGGCATCCGAGAATCCCATGCCAACTAACCCCCTAGGACCCCGGGCTCTCGTTCCCGCAAAAGGCGTCCATACGCGGGTACGCAATTTGAACCACCAGAGCCGCGACCCCATCAGTGTCCAGGAGAGTACGGCCCTTGCAGGAGCCAGGAGGCAGCTTGGTAGGCCCGTCGTTCGGTGGTGTCGGCTTCGGGGTGCCTGGAGCCTGGAGGTACCTACCACATTGCCTAGTCCGTCTGCTGTGCTTCCATGCCTGTTTCTCGCCGCCTTTGCTTCCGTGGGCCCGGCCTGCTATGTATGCTATGCAGACGATGGTGCTGTGAACCAAAATAGATTGCCTATGCCTGCTTGGCACCTTTGTCCGTGTCTTTGCTGCTTACGGAACAAGATGATGTACGACTCGTGGACGAATGGACGAGCAATAAGACGGCTGGCATGTGGTTTGCTGGCGCAAATCCGCCCGCCGCCATCGAGCATGAACCAGGCGGCCGCGGCGGGAATCTTGTTGAGAGTCTCACGTGGGCGTCGAGGAGCGGCCCTCCGTTCCACAGTCCATGAGCAGATGGGATGGATTCGCGATACTGTGTCCGCTACCTGCCGTGCTGCAACGCTGTCCTCCTTGCCCAACTGCTCTCCGGCGCGAGATGATCTCGGCCAGGCTGGCTCCCCTGATCCCATGCTCTTGGCCTGGGTTAACCTTGTATTCTCATTAGACCGTAGCGTGCGTGCAGGTGGTGGATGTGGGGATGCCCTTGAAGATAATAGAGGCGTCACAGTCGGATTGAGAATGGCGCACTGTCAGGCCCGTGGCTTGGCTCGATTGGTCCGTGGTCGAGGCCGTGGAGAGCTGATGGGTATTAGGTGAGCATCTCTCACCGTCGGTTTCAAGCTGCCTGAAGAGCAGATGGCGAGTGACGGATAGGGTGACGAATGCCATTTGCTTCAATAGTTACTGCCTGGTTGTTCGAAGTGATAGATAAGGCACGGAGAC